TCCCAAGCACCAAAGAAATACCGAGAAAGGGAAACATTCCTACCACGTTTGTACGTTACACACAGCACAAGGACATACAAATGGAGCAGGAGTTAATTAACTGAATACGAGAAGTTGCTTGATAAGTGTCGATAATAAGGAAATTATACAGGCACCAGCTTGTTTGGAGTTAACCATTCAAATGTTTGGTGTTGTATGGTTTATTTAGAAAGACCAATATTCAAGGTTATGAGAACAGGTTGACATTTCGAAAGTACGTTCCGTTACAGTCAACAAATCTTGTTGGATTTACCGTTTACCCTTGTCTATTTTATCGCCACTCTGTTTAACTCCATGGTTTCCGGAGTTTTAAATAATTACGAAGCAACAGGTATTTGCGCAATGTTAATTAGGCAGGTCACCTTGAAAAACATTGCTGCCGTATTTCTGATATAGTTTTTTGCAAATTTCTGAGTTTTTAATAATAATTTTTTTGCTATTTTTTCAGTACTTGCCAGATCTATCAGAAAACTATGCCAGATCGCTGCTCCAGAGGAATGAAGCCAGTTTTGCGTCACCCTGAATCCACAGAAAGCAATGAGATGAACCGATTCTCAATGTAGGCTCTGAGGATCTACCTGACATCACCATACAAGAAGTAGAACCAGCATTGTCTCAAATGAAAAACGGAAAAACACAAGGGAAAGGATAAATTACAACGGAAATCATAAAATGGCACACTACATGCATACACTTGCACTTCTTGAGGGTTTTAAAGTAGAACCATGAACGGTATGCAAGCTAAAAGGATCCTTATACGGTTTGAAGATGTCTCCGAAATGTTGGAACGAGACGATTAATTCGTTGATGTTGAGTTGATCATTTAAACGATCTGAAGTTTATTATTGCTTGTATATAAAAATAACTGAAAATTGTACAATTTATGTATTGATTTATGCTGGCGATTTGTTACTTGCAGGATTTGATGAAAGTCAGATTAAAGATTTTAAACTGGTGTTGCAAAAGCATTTTCAATTAAAATAATAGATATTTAGGTTCAGTTAGACATTTCTTGGGTATGCTAATTGAACAACAGGTTCCAGAAGGTGTAATTACAATAAATCAGACGACATACTTAAAGAATGCTTTAGAGCGATTTGATATAAATAACTATAAACCTGTTAAAACTCCAATGGAAGTTAAGTTAAACTATAACTTGCTAAAAAGAGAAATTTTTGAATTGGAAAATAACTGCAGAGCGGCTATTGGCTCTATCATGTATGCAATGCTTCGTTCAAGGCCAGACTTGTGTCGTTCTATTGGTGTACTAAGTAGATTTCAAAGTTGTGCAAGTGAACATTTGTGGATTGCCATAAAACCTGTGCTTAGGTATATTCAAGGGACTCTTGATTTAAGACTAGTCTTTGATACTTCTTTAAATTATGCTAGTGGTATTGAAGGGTATGCCGATACAGATTGGGCAGCAGATAGCATAGGTCGAAGATCAACCTCAGGTTATATATTGAAATTATACGGATGTACCATTTGTTGGTCTACAAGAAAACAGCCATCAGTAGCTTTATCTTCGATTGAGGCAGAATATGTTGCCTTGAGTTATGCTGTCAGTGAAGCTTGTTGGCTTAAATTTGTATTAAGTGATTTAATTGTTGTACAAGAGTGGAGTATAATATTTATGAAGATAACCAGCCAACTATTAAGTATGTAAGAATCCAGAATTTCACAAATGTTTAAAACATGTAGATCTAAAATATCACTTTGTGAGAGACAAGATTAAAGGGCACAATGTCCAGGGTGATTCACAACCTGATGTACGCAGAGCAGGGGCGTGCAG